AGTTGGCAATGCAATTAATAAGCCATTAGAAAAGGTGGAGTGGTAGCAGCATGTACTCTAGTGACCTTCATTAAACGAAAGAGTAAACCCTCTAGAACCTGTGTCTAATATCGGAGATATTGGCAGAATGCGCAACCTTAGCGCTTAGTTGTAAGTATGGCTTCCTGTCCGGGGATTCCTGCCTAGGACGTGCAGTCCTTGAGAAGAATCCTGTTACGAATTTTGTATATTTATAAATAGTTTTAATGAAATTATATGTGAAATTCTAGTCTTTCTTGTACATGTAACATGAAAATCTAAAGAAGCATAATGCTCTACAGAAAAATAAGAATACAGGAGCAAGTCTATATTTAGCATTTAGCCATTAGCTATAGCGAGATATAGCCAAGTTGGCAGTGGTTTTCGGCAACTAAAATGTCGCCAAAATTGGCGACATTTTGTTTTGGTCCCTGTATAACTGTAATTGTTATTGCAATTGATCTCAAGGAACAAATGTAAGTTTCTAATCCCCCAGGGTCTGGATTTCAGTTGCAGTTTGTGATTGAATGTTTACATTTTGGTAGAGCAAATTAATATTACCTACCTATGGAAGCGATTCCCTCGTGGTGGACTTCTCTGGGGAACTGGTCCATATTCCTATATTAGAAAAGGCGAAGAGAGAAAAAATGCTTTCGGTTTGGACGCACTCAGTTGATCAATGTTTACGTTTACAGAGTATTAAGTTTTGCTATACTTTGTTTATATTCGCTGTACTATTTATATTTGGGGTATAAATTCATGATATCTTCACTTGTAAAAACTGTTACTATTTAGAATTGTAAACGAGATTCAAAACGTTTGGTTAATTTTTTTTCCCTTCTGCCATGTTTATTCACAAAGTTTATCACGAAATTCTAATACTCAAAAATATTAACTCAGTATCTGAAAACACTACAAAATGTTAAGTTGCTTAATTTAATCCTTGATTGGCTGCGGATTGAAGAATATGTTGAAGATGAGAATGGAAACGACTTACTAAACAATTTAAAATGGAATCCCAAGGTTTTAAGACTTTTATTTTAGAAAACAAATAAGATGCTTTTATATATTTAAAATAGTGATTTGTAAGATTTCAATGATGCAATCAACAGGATATTATAAGCCTTATTTTTATGATCTAATTTTATGGCTTGTATTCGGTGAACTGTTCTGATCCTTAAGATATTATGAGATGAATAAGCTTTAAGGCGTGAGTTGCCTGCTTTAGTTATTGTTAAGTTATTATTTATTGTCACTTAATTATTATTCCCAACGTTAGCAGTAACATCAGCATCTTGGCAGAGTTTAACGCTTTCGCTTATTCTAATAGTTAGAGAATCAGAAGTATTCTTTCTAGTATTACATATTAGTCTATAAACTATCAAAACTTGATATACTCAGCACGATCAACAGCTGGAAAAAAAGTAGGAGTAAATTCCAATTGTTTTGCGGCTTTTGCTACTCGACAATTGATCCGTAATAGGCAACTACAAAAGCTGTTTATTCTATAAATATGACAGTAAAATCTACCTAAAACAGTATTTTCTCTTTCATCTGATATAAATATAATTGCAAATTTAAATATCTTTTAAAATTTTGTACATGTTTATTTATTTAAAAAACTTTTATGTCTCCTGGAATTCCATAGTCATGCAGACACGTAATGATTTGGCATGTGATAAAAATGAAATCGATTATTCTTACTTTCATGTGCCTGTCGATAATCCAGTTTAGTTCAAAGTCTTCGTCGTCATCACCAAATGGATTAATCAGCTGTTCTGCAACCTGCAAATAAGAGTTCATGTGTGTATTTTTACTATTATATTGAAATATTGCAGTTTTTAATCGATTGAGATTGGAAAGCTAGTTCAAATAGAAAAGGATTTTTGTGTAGGAACCCTCTTTCCAGCCTTTCGCAATATACACGGCAATTTCTTGCGAACTTAATGACATTCTGAAGATCTAAAAAAAAAAAAAAGTATTTTCGAAGCTCTAGGAATGATTTTTCTTGAAACTTCCGAAAGGGCTTACCTTGCCTCTTCTGGTCTATGATTATGAGAAGGCTGCAGTGGAATCTGAATTAGTGTAGTTCAGTTCAGTTCAGTTTTGCATTTGTTTTGCTCAAGCGCATTTCTCTCGGTGAGTACTGCTTTAGATTTTGCTCTGCAAGCGCTTTCAGGATCTACGATATTCCTCGCGTATTAAGGAAAATTTTGCGTAAATTTTGCTTTCTCCTTTGGATATTTATAGCTCTTTATCTTGCCCTTCACACCTCTTATTTATATGAATAAAATTTAAAGTAATTGTGCTGGCCTGTTTATTTAAGAAGATCTATACGAATTCGTAGCATGCAACAACATATATGTACAGTGGGTGTTTTTACAATTTGGGAATAATATCGATAAAATTTAAGCGAAAAAAACAAATGTTTTGGAATAAAAATTTCTAGCAACAGCTTATCTTAAATGAGAAACTACGTCGCTTCTTTAAAATTTATTCTTCTTCCAAAATGTCTCACGTAAAAAAGCTGCGGATTGAAGAATATGTTTTTACGCTTTCCGAAGGGAAATATTCCTGTTCCATAATTCGAAAACGTTGTTAAAATCTCGAAATGTAAAATAAGCAACATTATTTATCGTCTGTCATTACTTCTAGACATTACAGCTTAAAAAAAATTAAAAACCATAAGCAGCTTTTGCCAAGGTGGTTAGAGTAGACTTTAAGGTACCGCTTGTATTATGGCGAAGTTGTTTCATTTATCGCCAAGTTGTTTCTTTTGGTCCTGAGTTTGAATGTTTGAAACCAACGCTTTGATGTGTGTTGTTTTGTTAGTTAGAATGTTGATGTCGTAAGATTAATTTGAAGTTTCTGTACGATTTTGAACGAGCGTTAACTGACTGGTGTGTAAATGAAGGTTTACTTAGTAGCCATTATAAGTGTCATATGTAGGAAGGATATGCGTCTAGCGGAACGTAAAAACCCTTTACATGGATTTGAATGGGTTTGTAGGAAGAAAGGTTCAGATGTGGCGACGCCAATATACGGATTCGAGTTCAGATAATTTTAGGAAGATTTTGGAAGCTGTTAAGGAATTTAGTGTGCCACAGACTAAAGGTGAAGGAACTTCTAAATAGGGTAAGTGGACATTTGCTTTTTGTAGTCCTTAAATGTATAACATGTTTTTCCTTTCTTATGTTATTTTATTGTTTGGTTTAAAATGTAGTTTATTGAGATTATTATTATTTTTTTTTTTACATGTATTGTAGAATTTGGTGCTCCTTTGACTTTTTAAAGGAAAATATATCGATGTGTACATGGATAAAGTCAAGGGAGTGCGCAATGCCATTTTTCTGCAATTCGGGGTTTTTTTTTTTTTTTTTTTTTTTTTTTTTAGTGAAAATAGGTCGATGTGTACATGGATACCGTGTTTGTGCAATTCTTTGTGTTGTTATTTTGGCTTTGTGTAGCGGCGATTTTTTACGCAAAAATCACCGTTATGCAAGCCAAAATAATAAGTCAAAGAATTGCACAAACTCGGCATCCATGTACTGCCAAAAATCTCCAAGTTTTGCCAAGGGGTACCCTAAAATATACTTTTACCGCCAAGGCATATGGTTCAACGCAGAAGAATTTGTAAAACTCTGTATGCTTTCTTATGGAAAATGATAGTATCCGTTTTTACTATTTTAAAATCTATTATATTTAAAAATTTATATTTAAAAACATTGAAGTTTCAATGTTAGTCAATAGTAATGATTTAATTTCATCACCTGGCAGCAATCGATATGATTTTTCTTAAAAACAGAAGAGAAATATTTGAATGATTTTTCGTATTTTCTTATTTTTTATATCTTTTTAAGTTTTTTAACATCCTTAAAGGTGAACATTTCTTCCATATGTTAAACTGTAATCTTAAGTTTTCAGTTTGCAAATTTTTATTTATTTTATTTTAATTTTCCTTCCTTTTTTGGCGGGGGGGGGGAGAGATTTGTTTACTGAAACAGAAAATATAAAGGAACGGTTTTTGTCTTAGAGAAAAATAACAATGAAATTTTAAAATGCTAATATATATACATTAATGTATCCAATAAGCCAAAAAAAGTGTATACATAAAATACATGTTTAAACGTAGCTTATTAGTAATTCAACTTACCAAGTTAGTTGAATTTTTTAAAACGTACCCCACATAAGGAAATTTAACGACATAAAGGATATCAATATTATCGCACTTACTCGTACATGTCCTTGCCTTTGAAGCTAATTTTGCCTCTTGAAAATAGGAAACCCATTTACGAAAAGGTCTTAAATTTTGCTACCCATGCGTATCCGTATTTCCTGTTGTTACTATATATTAGAAGTTTTTAAAATCATTTGTTGAAGAAGTTAATGTGAAAATACGCGCGAGAGAGATATATAGAAGTAAAAGAAAAAAAATTAAAAAATATTAGCTCGTAGATTATTTCATTTTATGAGTATTAAAATGCTAGGTACTTACGTATTATCCCATCGATCGTGAAAATTGGTTGCCATCGAGCTATGAAAGTTAGCGGAGATCCCGCCAAAGTTGCGCCAGTCGCTCCTGTGAATTCTAGGCCCACCACTTCTATCTGAAACTCTTACAATAAAACATTCGTCACTCTTTCTGCATAATTCTAAAGTCGCTGAACACTGGTAGTTCGGTCCGAGGTTCGAATCCCGCGAACGGGCTGGCTGCATGGGCGTTTTCGTGGTTTTCCCCATGTGTAACGTGTATACGAGCCAGTTTCCCTTAGAAAGTCCTCCACGAAAGGCATCCCTCCCCTTAGGCAGATAGCCCTAGTGTGCTTTGCCATAATTAAATACACCATACCACACCTTTCTGCATAATTCACCAAATAGCCATTGCTACGGAATTATTTAACCGGCTTTGTTTTAGCGCTTTCTAGAAAAGCACTCATCGATTTCTTCTACTACTCCTTCCGATTTTACAGGAAACTCTCTTTAGAACTCTTTGAGTACAAGTTTCTCGCAGGATATTGTTCTAAACTTGTTTTGTCTCTCATACACAGCTATTTTTTTCCTCCCTTGAATAGATGATGATTCTCCCAATGAACTTTAAATAAACCGGAGGGCAGTCACAAATGTGATTCTACATTTCTTGGACTCATTTTTTTTTCAAAATGCATGAATAAAAATCACATCAATAACAGTTAATTAATATCTCTGTTCTGAAAAACAAAAGGCAGCTTATCGAGAATCAGCCAGAGTTACATCGAAGGAAACATTAGATATAAGTGTATTGTGATATGTCACCCTTATCGATTACTGGCACTAAATCGCGCTGCTTGGCGACAGTTTGGTGGGATAATACAAGGCATATTCGGAAACTAAGTACCGTTTTGAAAAAAAAAAAAAAAAAGTAAAACAATTTTTTCGAATCCAATTTTATTTTTACATGAAAATACATGTCTTAAACTATTTTTAAACTTGGTTTCCGCCAATGATCAAACACTTGTCATAGCGGCTGACCAGTTTTTGTATACCATCTTCAAAGAAACATCCCGCCAGTTTCGATAACCACGACTTAGTTTTGTTAAAGTCTCACAATATCGTGCCGCGTAAATACAAAATACCTGCGGCCCATAGGTGTTGAAGAAGGGCAGCATTTACTGAAATCTTACGCGGAGTGTATTTTTAAAATTCACGGGGAGTTAAAACTTACGAGGCGTATTCGGAAACTAAGTACCGTTTTGATAAAAAAAAAAAAAAAAAAAAAGTAAAACAATTGTTTCGAATCCAATTTTAGTTTTACATGAAAATACATGTCTTAAACATTTTTCAACATAGTTGTCCGCCAATGATCAACACTTGTCATAGCGGGTTTTTTTTTGTATCCATCGTCAAAGAAACTTCTCGCCAGTTTCGATAACCACGACTCCACAGCATTTTTCGTGTCATCGTCAGATCCAAAGCGCTCGCCACCAAGCTCCCGCTTCATGTGCAGGAACAAGTGATAGTCGGACGGCGCCAAGTCCGGGCTGTACGGCGGGTAATCGAACTGCTCCCAATGAAACTGTCGAATTACGATTGAGTGGACACCAGCAGTATGGGCCGAGCATTGTCATGGAGCAACACAATTCCTTTACTGAGCATTCCTCTTCGTTGTTTTGAATGGCACGCCTTAGTTTTGTTAAAGTCTCACAATAACGTGCCGCATTAATGGTTTTCACCTCTGGGAAGAATTCAGTAAGCAGAACGCCTTTCCTATCCAGAAGACAGTGCACATTATTTTTTGTGATGACATTGTCACTTTGAACTTTTTTTTTTTTCGGAGAATGAGTGTTGTCTTCACTTCCATCGATTGTTGTTTCGATTCTGGGTGAAATGACACACCCAAGTTTCATCACCTGTCCAATTTGGTTTAAATTTGGTTTATAATTTGGTCTCAATCACTGTAACCGCGTGGAAATGTCAGGGCACTTCCCAAGTCGCTTTGGTTTGTGAACATCAGTGAGCATTTTTGGAACCCATCGGGAACACGTTTGCGATAATTCAAGAGGTCAGACACAATTTCGAACGAACAGTACGTGAAATTTGTGGAAATCCTCTGAAAGAGTTGTCATTGTGAAGCGTCTGTTCTCATGATTGCTTCGTCAACTTTCCTTACCAAATCATCGGTGACAACAGAAGGCCGACCACCCATCCGGCCTCGGTGTGGACATTTGTACGATCTGCATTAAACATTCTTACCCACTTTCTCACCATTTCCATCACTTATCGCGTATTCACCGTAAACTTCTGTTACTTGACGATAAATTTCGGCGCTTTAACATTCCCTCGCGTTCAAAAATTTAATCACGGCACGAATCTCACAGTCAGCGGGAGAACTAATTGTCTTAAACGTTTTGAATGTGCACAGCAAACTGAAACACAACATAGAGCAACCAAAATGGCGACAATTGAAAGTCAGTGAACAAGAAAGACTAGTGCGCATGCGCGGGACGCCTACCACAGCGCTGCGACGGCGCTAGAATGAAACGGTACTTAGTTTCCGAATACGCTACGTATATCAGTACCAGAGGCTATTACAGAACTAAAACTCGCCTTGGAGTTAAAGCTATAAGTATTGTCTTATAATTCTTTCATTTCCTTACCTTTAATAAGCCCATGTAAAACATGAGTTGAAGAATCGTGAAAATTGGTATGTAGTAATCATAGCGGTGAACTTCCGGAGAAGAGGACTTTTCAGTGATGACATTGACATTTTGTCTGCCAAACATACAAGCTACATAAAAAGCGTATGTAGCCATAGTGACAACCTAAAGAAAAGTTAAAATAAAATAATGTTAGTTTTAAAAACAAAATTATTTAAAAATACAGTTTAAAACGAAATAATGATTATGAATATAATTATAGTATCTCTTCACATGTACGTAATGGTATTAAAACATTACCAAACGCGCTAAAAAAGAAAAAGAAAGGGAAAGAATCCGACAGACTAAATACAAAATTTTAAGTAGCCACCATTCTGCTTCATAATCTATTTCGGAGTTAACGGTTCTCCAGTCCTGCCTGACATCTAGAGCGTGTCCTGGAAGAAGTTCTCTTGCTTTAAGTTCTTCAGTAAATGGAATGATACAGTAATCAACCAGGACCTTAATGAAGGTATGATACTGAAAGTGCCATTTTATAAATACGAAATTAGTGATACTGGAAACTACATTTCTTGGTACAGCCCAATAATACTCATAAGAGAATCTCTACCATTTTTCTGTCCGCTGAAAGCACAACAATTAAGAACAAAGCGAAATTGATGCTAATTTGTTTGTCGATCACATAGTGATTCTGTGCATAATGCATTTCAGTGACAAGGAATTCTTCAGAATTCACTCGTTGCGGAAAGGCAAAAATAAACGTTCAGGATAAACATGCGCATGATTCCTTAAGAATTAAAAAGGTCACTGGATATTGGATGATCTTCCAAAGTCACAAATCACAAAATGACAAAAACATCAATGTGATTTTGTGAACTACTGGAGACTGATGATTTATCATGACTATGGAATAGTCGTGACTTCCATTAAAGTTTTTAATCCAAGCTATATGTTTGCCAGTCATTTCCCTTCTTTCAGAATGAGATGAATATTGCTCTGAAAAGTACCGAGAAACAGTATTTTCAGAAGGCATTCGAGCAGTAATAGAATTGCCGCGATCATAGAGTCAGTTTCCAAAATAACAATGTAGGGATGGCCATTGAAACTATAGATTAGTCTGTCACATTTTATAGAGCCGTTTGGGAATTTTTTTACCAATAAATATAATTCGAGTAGACTTTAAGGTACCCCTTGTATTATGGCGAAGTTGTTGTTTGATTTATCGCCAAGTTGTTGTTTCATTTATGGTAGCCTGAGTAGTTGAATGTTATAAAAACTCTATTGTGACGTAATCGGGTGCATGATTCTGGGAAATTTGGAATTCTGGGATGTTTTGTAAGCGTTTTCGTGGTATGTGTTAAAACCGTTTAGATGGATTTGAATGGGTTTGTAGGAAGAAAGGTTCAGATGGTCACTATGTGAAGCGTTCGATCAAACGAGTACCTGGTTTTGAAAAAAGTCATTTGAGTATGATTGATATTTTGATTTTGATTTTTACGTGGCTCTGGGTGTACGAAGCGAATTCGAAAATCATGGTAAGTGAATATTTGCTTTTGGTAGTGCTTAAATGTATAACATGTTTTTCCTTTTTTATGTTATTTTATTGTTTAGTTTAAAATGTATTTTATTGAGATTATGTATTTTTTGTTTGCCTTCATTGTAGACTTTGGTGCACCTTTGCCTTTTTAAGTGAAAATCTATCGATGTGTACATGGACAAAGTAAAGGGAGTGCGCAATGCTAGTTTGTGCAATTCTGGGATTATTTTTTAAGTGAAAATAGGTCGACGTGTACATGGATAAAGTCAAAGGAGTGCGCAATGCCATTTTTGTGGAATTCGGATTTTTTTTTTAAAGTCAAAATAAGTCGATGTGTACATGGATACCGAGTTTGTGCAATTGTTTGTCTTGTTATTTTCGCTTTGTGTAGCGCTGCTTCGCAAACCAAAATAACGAGTCAAAGCTTTGCACAAAATCGGTATCCATGTACCGCCAAAAATCGCTAAGGGGTACCCTAAACTATACTTTTACCTATAATTCTTAGTATAATAGTAAAATGTTGGATAAAATATGAAAAGATTTATATAATTTAAACGTCATGAGAAATGGTATAGTGAAAACTGCTGATGTAATTGCAATGAATTTATCTTAATAATGTTATTTTATCGACTTGCTGAAGTCAAATCTAAATGTTTGGTCAAAGAGCAGATTTCTTTTTTCTAATCTTACATGGAAGAAAATGGATCAAATTCGAGATTTCGAATTAGAATTGAATCAAAATTATTGAGGGAAATGCCATTATAACCCTTATATTGTAGGATTATGTTTGAGTTTCATTAGACAATTTTATTTTTGTTTATTTCTTTTCTGTTGTTTCATTTTTTCACTGGCGTGTTGATTCCAGAGATTATGCAGATTTAAGTGGCAGCCAATTTTGTATAAAGTTAGAGAAAGAACTCGTAATCGTATGAGAATTTGGATGAGCGTTGGATACTTGCAGATTATTAGTTGACGTTATATAAAATGTTGCACAGCTTATAACTCAACAGACTGTCTACCGTAAACTAAAATCTCAAGTGATTCTTAGTTGGTAAGTTTAGATTTTGTAGCAGTTAATAGTCATCCTTGAACTTGTAGTCTCTATTAGAAATAATCAGATACTGTACCTACAAGGAGTTTAAAGACCCATTTATTAATTCACCATCAGGTTCTGGTAACTTTATGAGTAATATTTTTAGTTTAATCCTCAAAAGTGATCACATAAACTAAACTAAACTTTGAATACTTGAACCTGTTTGTTTATCAGATAGTAGTTAAGTTGTAGAATCATTAGGTTAATTGGAAGCAGAAAAGATGAAGAATAGGCAACCGCCTTCACGGGGAATCGAACCACGGACCTCTGGAATACCGGCTTACCGTGCTACCGTTACACCACGAAGGCACGCTAGGAAAGTGGGAGAAATACCTTATATACTCCCCTTTTTAAAGGCCGACTAGGGTTGTAGGGGATCTAGTCTCCAAATCCTGGGTGCGGAGAATCATCCAAAACCCTTTTAGTTCGGGCACCATTGTAGAGACATTAGGATTTTTTGGAAGCCAGAGAGATGAAAAATATGCAACCGCCTTCGCCGGGAATCGAACCACGGACCTCTGGAATACCGGCCCAGCGTGCTACCGTTACACCACGAAGTCACGCTAGGGAAGTGGGAAAAATACCTTATATATTCCCCTTTTTAAAGGGCGACTAGGGTTGTAGGGGACCTAGTCGCCAAATCCTGGGTGCGGAGAATCATCATCCACAACCCTTTTAGTTCGGGCACCATTGTAGAGACATTAGGATTTTTTGGAAGCCAGAGAGATGAAAAATATGCAACCGCCTTCGCCGGGAATCGAACCACGGACCTCTGGAATACCGGCCCAGCGTGCTAAAACCGTTACAACCGTTACACCACGAAGGCACGCTAGAGAAGTGGGAGAAATACCTTATAAAGTTAGTAGTGAAAACTCATCAAGTTAGCTTCAACGTAACACCTGAAGGATAGGAGTTTTATCTGACTATTTGAGAATAAGATTTAACCCCAGACAAGTGTTATAATATAACCAAAAATATTTTGTATTCATCTTATTCGGTTAAATCAGACCTAGCCGATCAATCCATATATGTAGTAAAATGTTATCCGCTCAGAGCTTGGTTGTTTCTTCGCTTAACCCCTTGGGTACGGATTTATTTGAGAAAATATTTGCATGTGGAACGGATATAATTTTTGGTTGCTTGGAGTAGAATGCAAAAGCAGTACATTTTACGTAAGAATTTATTTATTTCTAAAATATTGGTGACATATGTAGTATTAAGGTGTCTTCAAGTAACTAGAATTGCAAAACAAAAAATAAATTAACAACAACAAAATAAAACTAAATGAAATAAATTCAAGCTATATATATATATAAAAGAAACAACAATTACTAATAATTATGCAGAGTGTGAAATTTTTCAAAGCAAGTAAGTAAATGCAGTGCTACTTTGCATTGTTTGCACTGTCATCTATTCTCTTTCCTAATATGATGCTTTTAACAAACACGGCAACTTATTCCAGGATGTTGCTTGGACTTAGTTGACGGAATGTTCTCGGGAAAGTGTGCCCAATTTTTCGCTGCCAAACGAAATGGTTTGTATCGCTACTTGACGGGCGTCCACGACGTTTATAATTTGGCAGTGACAATTGCTCCAGCAATTCTTCGGCAATAGCTAAACGAAAGGATATAAAACATAAGCATTATAAAAGGCCATATCTGATGCCGGTTTTATAATATTTTCGCTATCGCCACCTTCATTTTTTCTCCTTTTGCCTGTGTTTATAAAATCAGCATTTGAATGTTTCGTTCTAACTATGTGATTCATCCGCTCCTAGGGAAAGCAAGTGAATGACGTCTCTCAGACGTCAAATGTACCCAAGAGTTTAATTTTTGGTTTGTCGTCTTAGACATACGTCATCCGCTCCTAGGGGAGAAAAAGTGAATGACGTGTCTCAGACGTCAAATGTACCCAAGGGGTTAAAAAAAACTTTCTATACATTTCCTTCCCTCAGAATTGTGAATTTTCTAGAACTTTTCATTGCAGTCGTGCTATCAAAATACCTGAAAGAAATCGAAGGGAAAACAAGGAAAATAAGGGGAACATATATTCGGTAAAACTCTCCGCTGCTTTCTCTGAACAGCGGGAGAAAAATTATGTTTCGGACAATGGTATTAATCTAACAGTGGGATGTTGTATAACAGAGTACTACACTCCGATGTGATGTACCACTTCAACATAGTTTTGAGATTCTTGTGTCCTTAGTTCAGCATTTCTGACCCAGAAAAAGTGAGAACCTCCATTCACTGGACGGACTGTCTTTAGAACAGATTTCTATTTCTACTGTGTTAACAGAATACTAACCTTTTCTATAACGGAAGTAACTACTGAAAATAAAGTCTTCCCATATAAAAGAAATCGCTGGAGCTTTCAGATGCTTGTGAGCTCACGTAATCAAACACCGCTCTGATTTGGCGATTTCGCAATTCCGAGGTTTGTGGTAGAAAGTTATGAATATATGTGAAAGGATTATATTTAAAGGATGTAATATTATTGTTATTTATCATATTGTAACAATGCTAGCACTATTTATATTTAATATACCACGTACTTCCATTTCTTCCATCCAGGCTCCTTATTTATTTCTTAAAGGATTCAAAATATACTTGTATTTTTTTATTTGTTTCATCTGGAAAAACTTAGAAAAGTCTAATGTGTATTGGAATGCATATTCTGAACAATTGAATGAACGGTAAAAGTTTAAGATTGGGTGCCCCTTGTTTTTTGGCGATTCTTTTTTGACACCAAGATCGGCGCCAGGAAGGCACAATTTCTAGATGGCCTCTACACAAACCCAAAATAGAAGTCAAAGAATTGCACAAACTCTGTGTCCGTGTACACATCGATCTGTTTTCATTAAAAAAAAACATCCTAGAATTGCACAAACTAGGCATTTCGCACTGCCTTAAATTTGTCCATGTACACATCAATCTATTTTCATTCAAATAAAATCAGAAAGCTGAAACACAGTTAAAACTATCATGGTAACCACAAGTGAGGTTTCATCGACAAAATTTAAAAAACATCGTCGCTAATCGAAGGGGCACCCAATTCTACACTAGATCCGAATGAACATTAGCATGAACATTAATAATAACTGACTTCATCTCCTGTTCAGTTAAATTAGATTGTTTTGACTATAGCAGAGTACGCAAATTCTAGACGATGTTCTAAGAGAAATTTGCTCGTAATCGTGCTATTCAGGGACAAACCATAAAAACACCCATGGAATCGAAAGGATTGAAACCTAGATCGAACTATCAGTATTCAATGTTCGTATCCTCTCAGTCACTGATGAGCCAGTATCTTTTCGAGGTTAATAGATAAAACCCATTTACTTTACCCTCACTTATTTGCCTGATTACCAATTTGCTAGAAACAAGTAAATTTTCTCAAATTAAACTTATCTATGGAAACTTCCTTACCTGAGTATATACTAAAGGAATGCTTATCCAATCATATCCCCACAATAGTCCACATTTTGATCTGAATTCGTTCAATTCCTTCAGGGAAAAAATAAATAAAAATTACATTTTTAAATTTCAAAGATTACACAAATTTACACATTTTTAGTTTCTTTTGCAATTATATTTCTAGACTTTCTTATCAATTTAATTTATATACAGAAAATAAATAATAAAATTTCTCTATTTCATGTACCTACCGTTCTTTTTATATTTCGGAGGTGAACGCATGTTTTGAATGCCTCAAATGCGATAAAATATTTTCAAAACGAAAATCTTTAACTAATAATTGTAGCTTTAATTTGCTTGTTTATTTATTCTTCACTTATTTTTTAAATTCCCCGTGACCAAATCAACGTCACGTTAAGTCAGTTGCTAAGAAAAATGTAAAATTCCATGTATGATATCACTATCGTAACTTTAGTTTCTAATTTAAACATAATATAAAATTTCCGCATTAAAATTAATGAATTAATAGAATCTTTAAAGTTTAGAATTCGGCTTATCTGTTTGTTTATTAATTTGCACGAAAGAAATTTTGAACTCAACTTTTGACCTACATAAGTTCGTTACTGATTTTCTTAAAGTTTTCACACATTTGTATTTACTTACGATTAAAGTACACTATTCAGGTGTAGTTTCTTCAGAATATAATAGGCAGACTTTTATGTAGGGCAAATGTCTTTAGATAACTTTCTCGTAAAAAAGGATGCATTATAAATAAATAATAGATTACATTATTATAAATTTGTTTAAGTATTCTTTTCGAAATGGAACGTACTAGCCTATTTTACATTAATTCGTATGAGGAAAAACTTTTTTCTTTTAACGAGTGCTTCACATTATAAATAAAATTCAGAAACAAATTGTGCTCATTAATCGACGTTAAATTGTATTACATAATTTATTATCACTAACCATTTTATTTCGAAAGCCAAAATTATAGGCAATTATAAAAAATATTTTGTATGTTAACAATTTTAAAAACTGTAGTTTTTCATAACCAAACAGAATTTAAGTGTAATAGGGAATAAACGAAAATGCGATAACTAAGAAACATTAATTAAGCGAATGATGTTAAGTTAAAAAAAAAAAAAAACTGAAAAGTCTAACATTATAAAGCATTTTCTCCCTCTTTTTCGCATTGCCTTTGGTGTAAGGGTAGCACACTCGGCGTGTATTCAAGAAGTCCAGATTCGAGTCCCGGTGAGGGCATTGCTCATTTTTCGTGTTACCTACTTTAAAAGAAATCCTAATGACTCTACAGTGGCGCCCGAACTTAAAGGTAGTGGATGATGACTCTACACTACCAGTATTTGGTGATTGGGTCCCCTAATCCCCTGTCGTCTCTTAAAAGTTATAAAAAGTATTTTCTCCCTCCTTTGTTCATGCCTTCGTGGTGTAACGGTAGCACATTTGAGAGGTCCAGGTTGGAGTCCCGGCAAGGGCATTGTTAATTTCCGTGTTTCCTATTAAAAAAAAAAAAAGTCTTAATCACTCTACAGAATATTTTAACTAAATTCGAAACTAAACGCATTTAAAAACTTAAACATGCACAATTTTAAAACGTATGAAAAATGAGCTTATCTCAATTTTTTGCTGCTGATAGCATATTCTTGTCTTTTCTAGGTTTTACAATACTATATTATAAACTTTATTTAAATATGCATAGTCTGGTATATTTTTTTAATTATTTCTTATTTAAAATTTTTTTTAATTACTTGTTAAACTGAAAAATGTGAGAACACTACAAAGTTTTCATTAAAATTTCAGGTGTCTTGACGGTTTTGTCATGTAAAATCAAATAATATTTTCGTCTCTTCTTTTATTCCTTTTCCTATATATTATTCTTTTTGTATTACTCCCTTAAATCTTTTTATTTTCTGCTTTTTGAGAATTAAGCGCTTTAATTAACTCTTAAATATCGAAGAAAAGTATAACGTCTTTCTTATATTATTACAGAAATACTTCTTAATTATTATTCCTGAAGATCGGAAATAACATTTTATTAGTTTCACCTTCAAAAAGCTGCGTTCGGCTGAGGTTAGACACTTTCATGCACAAATTCTCAGTGCAGCTGACATACTTGTAAAAATATCTTCCAATTCTTTTCGTAGTTTCGTTACTGAAGTTTCGTTACACAGGTGTTGGCAATTTGTTGTAACCTTTCACACTTGTTTCCCCCCTTCCAAAACAAAAGTTCTTACTATCACAAATAAGACTGTTCACTGCAACGACTGAACTGTTTAAATCTGTCTTTCAACTACGTAAGAGCAGTGTCCAATTCAGAATTGGATATGTTCAATCGTAACCGATTTTCATCTCCTACAGTGGGCTGATTTGGGCCTTCAAAAGAATTTTTTTTTTTTTAATTTCTACTTCTGATGTTATTAATGTCATTAAACTGAACAAAACGCCAAATATGTGAGCAATTCATTTGATTCTTCTTTAAAATTTTTCATTTTAAAATTCACTTACCAGAATCTCTTCATTAGCATAATATTTGTAAGTTTCAATGACGTGTCTAATTGCATGCCTTCCTGTTCAATCACTTTATTAACTTCTGAATTCTTATGAACAGATCACAAGGTATGAAGAACATTAAAATGCTATAGTTTTCGCTTCCCATCCAGTTTCACAGAGTAGTTTCAGCTATAGATGCACATGACTGAGCGCCGCCTGAGATAACCACTGACCTGACTTTGTTGTAAAAGTCTTACAGTGTTAATAGTCATCCTGGCAGAAGGGAAAATTTCCTCCGTGTAAAAATATACATATAAATATTACATGGGCATACAAGGCCGGTGTATAAGCATAGATATGTTGATTACAATCATTGTCTTGTACAAGTTGCATATGATAGATACATAAAATCATGACAGCTATGTGTTTATTTAAACATTATATGAATTCATATTTACAATACTTTTCTGAGATAATCAAAATTAAACTTGTAATTCATTTACACATTGACTGGATTTTCAGTATCATTTAAACTGCTTTACAATATTATTTTTATCAAGTACATACAAACTGGATAGTAAATATGCTTACATTACAATAGTTTTGCTCTTACAGTCCTGTTATTATTCTACGGGGTGAGCTATTTTCCTAGTGTTGATATTCAGTTGTTGTAGTATTTTGAATTGCTATTAAAATTATGCTGCGAAGATACAATTCTCAATGCACATGACTAACCAAAATTTTTAGCATTTCATTAATAGAGGAAATAAACAAAAAATACGTGCCAGTGGCCCATTTGCATTCCTTTGTACGAAATAAAGGCAGTATTGTAATTGCGAAAAATTTCGGGTATCATATTTTAACGAAAATATACATTTTGACCACTCTCGAATCAATTTGAACGATGTTTTGCGTGACATCTGTACGTACAGACAGAATATAGGACTCTTTTTTTTTTTTTTTTTTTTCCAAAACGGATTGTAAAATGGATTTAAAATCACAGCCATACTGTCATCTTGCGTTTTCTTTCAAAATGTACTTAATAATTTGCCTTTCTATTGGGACATTTTTCTTTAAAAATCCGTCATACCGTTCCTTTTCACACTTTAATGGCTACATGGACACTTCATCCATGGCCAACTACAGGAACGGCCACGGAAGCTCTGGCGTGACGTCACAACCTCCGTCTAAGCTCTACGATTTCAACTCGATGATCGAACTTCCATTGTCGCGAAACATAATAAAATATGCTTTCTTATATCACATTTGAAATGCCTTATATACCTAATATGCAGTTATTTTATCTTTGCAATCATATTATTTATGCCTAATTTAGAAAATTAAAAAAAATTACAATTTAAAATGCAAAAAATAATTGACCAATTAAATACATATTTATAGACTTTTGTAGAAGTTTCTCTTACATAGTGTGATTAATTAAATATCGCGCAATCCTTCATGTATGCTTTCATCATTTATAAATTTATATTTTCAAAGGATTAAATAGTAAAAAATAATTAAAAAAATTATTTGTAATAAGATGTTCTTAAATGAGCTTTGCATAACATGCACAGAAACGATCCTTTCATAGAGCAAGAAAATTTCACAAATTAACAAAACAGAAATAAAAAGGAGAAATTTTTATTTTAATCAAAAGATCAATTATGTTGCAGAAAAATTTCATAATAGTATTCCAAGAGTTTAAAAATTAGGAAATATAAGAATTCAGAAAAAAAAATTTCATAGAAGCATGGCCTGTAGTTGGCCATATTTCATCCAGGTCACTATGCGCGCAGAAACTACACGAGCCAGAAATTCACGATCGATGAATCTGTTTATAAATTCATATAAATAATGATATGAGTTTAGGCCGGTGCAGAACCCAATTCATATAATTGCAGAACATATTCTAGATACAAAAACATATACACTAGACAAAAACATATGTTGCCAGGAAAACTATGCATACTAATACGCTTGAAAAATCTGTCTATGGAAAAGACTTCTAAATCCTACATTTGAGGTCAATCTGAGAACGCTGAATATGTTAGAAAGCATATCGTCTGCCACAGAGTATAATTCCGTCCTTTCGGTTAATGATGTTTTAGATATTATGCTTTGAAATATGAATATTAAAAAGGGGAAAATTAAACGCAAAAGAATTTTAAGAACGGAAGATTTCAGTCCTCAATTCTTATTTAAAAATGTTATAGAGTATACGTCAATCATTTAGTGATAAATAGGAATATATGCCGTTTTTCACATATCTGGTAATCTTGCAAATTTCGGTAATCTCAAACACTGTTAAAGAGAAACGCAATTAACCATAACCATACTCCAAATAAGAAGAATGGACAGTAATTGCCACTGGGCGTCTGTGAAATAGGGAATTGCCAACAGCGAAATTGTCATAGGCTTGGTGATTGACAATTTTGATTTAAAAAATTTGTAATGCAGAGAAATACTGTTTAACGGGTAAATTCACCTTATTTCTGTTCCCATTTACGTGTACTTGCTATACAATGGTTCTCTTCCATTATCATTTTTTTTTCACGAAGCCACACTATAACTAATGATCAGTACTGTACAGAATTGATCATTGATTAACTAATGATCAGTACTGTACAGAAATAAGTGTATGAAAAGTATGCATTGTGAAAAAAATATTGGCAGAGGGATGTTTTAAAAGTTTGGGCCTCTTGCAGCTGCGGGGGGGGGGCTACCGACTTTTACTTCATGCATTACATAAAATTCACATATGCGTTTATAGAAATATAATTATTTTTTACCTTGTAAGCATTTTATTCATGGAACAATTCATAAGTAAAACGTATTTTAGACCTTTTTATGTATTATAAAAAATCTGCAATTTTCTTAAATGTTGATGTGTAATATTAGCAAATGTTTTAGCCACGAAATATGTATTCAGGTAGTATTTAGGCATACAGTGAAACTCTCTTAAATAATGAAGAATTACCTAGCTAAAATTCATTCTGGTCAAACCTATTTTTTGTTTCTTATTAAATTATAATATTCCTCTGTTACCTAACTTTAGGATACTTTTCATTTAATAATGGCCGGATACAATATGTGTAGTTTTCGACGATAATCGCGTAAAACCTGTCCTAAGTTTCAGATATTAGATTTAACTATGCGATTATAAGCTATATCATGAACTACCGTGTTACGAAACAGAGGTTAAAAAGTAGTACCCATTTGTTAATTAAAATTTACATGATGTATTTATTGAATAGCTGCGTGTTCTTAGCTGTAGAGACGTTAGGTGTTTTTGGAAGCCGGCAAGATGAAAAACGAGGAACGCCTTCGGCGGGAATTGAACAGCGGATCTATGGAATACGCGCCCAGCGTGCAGACCCACTACACCACGAAGGCACGCTAAGAAGACGGGAGAAATACCTTATATACTCCCCCTTTAAAGGGCGACTGGGGTTTTTAGGGGACCCAATCGCCAAATCCTGTGTGTGGAGAATCATCATCCACCACGTTTTCACCTCGGGCGCCGCTGTAGAAACATTAGGTATTCTTGGAAGCAGGCAAGATGAAAAATGAGCAACGTCTTCGCCGGGAATCGAACCGAGGACCTTTGGAATACGCGCCCAGCGTTCAGACTACTACACCACGAAGGCACGCTAATACTTTATACAACATATTTATTATAGATTTTAAATGTGTTATAAAAAGTTATTAGTCGCAAAAAACGCACGTGTGTTTTTCATACTAATAGTAATAGTATTAAATTTTAATAGTAATAGTATTAAATTTGTTTATCAGATTCCAGTATAAAATTACAATATAAAAACCGTCGAATTTATTTAAGAACATATGTCCAGTTACCTCCATAATGAGTTTGAGTCCATTTGAGTCTGTAATTCTGCATTCTTGTCGTGCTTCTCTGAGAACATTTATGAACCAAGTGCAAGGAATCCAGAAAGTATTGAACTCTGTCGACGGAACACTCTGGAACATCTCCAACTCCGTTTTTGTCATGAAGCCTGGGAGAATTTGAAAGCAGTTTCAATTCTAGGTTCAAGAGAAAGTATATATTGAAAGTTTGGAAAGAAATATTTATTGAAAAGCAAATGTTGAGTATTATTCCTAATTCTCTGACAGACAGCACATCAAAAAAATTAGAAATATCATTGTGATTTAGATTTATTTTTACCCAGCTGCTTTATTTGCTACTCAACTAGAATTGCTATTGAGTTCGTTTCTTGATACTGTCATTGTTATTTAACTTTTGAAATTATGCTTGAAATCTCATTGCTATTGAGTTCTTTTCTTGATACTATCATTGTTATTTAACTTTTGAAATTATGCCTGAAATCTCATTAACGTTTCTAAAATCTAAAGGTTACTGACTTATTTTCATTTTGGAAAGGGTCAATATGTATTATGAATACCAGCCAATTTCCATCAGAAAGTCCTTCATTGCAGATAGCATTTAAGAGCTTTGCCATGTTAAAATAAAAAGAATTAAATTGTCATCAGTCATCAGTTTTTGTTTTAAAGCAGCAAACGTGAAAAAAGTGCGATGCCGTCGCTGGGACTCGAACACTCGACCTCTCCAATACGCGTCAAGTGTGCTTTCCAATTACACCACGAAGGCATGCGGAAAATAAGGAGAAAATGCCTTAGAATTCGCCCTTTTAAACAGCGACTCGGGATTAAGGGACCTAACCAAGAAATCCTGGGGTGGCAAGTCATCGTCCACCACCTTTTAGTTCGGGCACCACTTGTAGAATCATCATCATCATCATCATTATTATTATTTGAAGCACGAGACATGAAAAATGTGCAACGCCTTCGCTAGGACTGTTTTGGTTTGGTTTTTATTAGATTATGGCAAAGCACTCGAGGGCTATCTGCCTTAAGGGAGGGATGCCTTCGTGGAGGACTTTCTGAGGGAAACTGGCTCATATACACGTTACACATGGGGAAAACCACGAAAACGCCCATGCAGCCAGCCCGTTCGCGGGATTCGAACCTCGGACCGAACTACCAGTGTTCATCGACGTTACGACGACGCTGGTGGGCTCGCTAGGACTGGAACCCTGGACCTCTCGAATACGCGTCCAGTGAACTTCCACGAATGCATGCGAAAAAGATGGAGAAAATACCTCATAAATTAACTGCTAGAAAAGGTTCACAATGTATAATCCTCTTTTATTCTTTTTTTTATTTTATTCGTCTTTCAGCAAAAAACAAAACTATATCTAAAAAACTGGCCATTTTAAGCTTGTAGAAAAGACAGTCGTAGACTTCTGCATTATGAAAAACGATCTCTTTCCTAAGCTTCGTAAAGCTTCTTAAGCTTGCTTGTTAGTATTCCTAAACAGTAATAATACCTAGTAACTGAATACTAAATTTAAAACCATGTTATAGAACAACACTGCATTAAAACAGAAAAATTTCTTCTTTAGAATATGTTTTATCAAAATCGCACAATGGGGAAAAATATCCCACAACTCGACATATAATTGAAAAATGAAATTCCGAAAAAAGAAACTACAATTATTATATTTCTGCAGTTAAACACTTCGAAGAAAGAGAAAACGATTGATTTGGATCCCAGAACACGTTCCCACCCTCCCCATGCCTGAAATAGAAAACATCGTTCATACTGTTGCATGGGAGATCATTTCCTAAACAATTTTTTTGCAGGATAACAATGATTTTGGTTTACATTTATAACAATGATTTTGGTTTACATTTCTTTTATTTTGATTAGTTTGTTTATTTCTCATGAACATGTCAAGTATAGATATGTATGTTTTAGTATACATGTTTGACAATTTTTACTTCCTTGTAGGAAGTAAAAAGGAAGTGTTGTAATCACGAAAAGTTTCAGGCAGCATATTTCAACGAAAATATCCATTTTGACCGCTATCGAATGCAATTTAACGATGTTTTTGCGTGATATCTGTACCTAAGGACAGAATAAAATACTCTTTTCCTTCAAAAAAATTATGAAACTGCTTTAAAATTAATTCTGAAGAGAATTTTTCGTGGCGTCTGTACGAACGTATGTATGTACGTACGTATCTCGCATAACTCAAAAACGAGTAGCCTCAGAACGTTGAAATTTTGTATATATGACTACTATAACATGTAGATGTGCACCTCGTATTTTGGTTGCAATCGGCCGCACCAAACGTATATAAATATATTTATATATATATCCACTCTATTACCCGGCTCAGTGATCTCAGTTTCTTTACTCTTATATGTTTGTAAATTGTACATTTTTTTTTCTTTAAAAATGATTGAATTATATTGTTTTTATCTTCCGGTTAAGGTTTTTATGCCTTTAGTAAATCTGTATGCAATATTTTTAGAATTATCAACAATTTTAAAGTTGTCTAAATGCCGCTAAGCCTTTTTTTAATGGCGGCCATTAATGTTTAGATTTGAAACAGGAGGCTAGTCGATTTGTTGCCAATCTAGAGAAACTTAGCTTCGCAACAACAAAGATAACGTCTTCATTTATAATTTAAATCATGCTTAATCCTTTCTGGAATTTTTTCGAGGAAATAAGTGTTTAAGATTTACTTCGTAAATTTTAATATAGATATTTTGAGTTTTTATGTATTTTTGCCTTCTAGCGAAGTGAGAACTGAATTAATTAAATGAGAAATACTCAATCGTCTGTGAAAAACTGTTTCTTTTTGTTTTGTTTGCTTAATTTCTTTTATACATAGTTCTAGCTTTATTATAGTATTTGAATAGAACATGTGGCAACGATTAGATAATTATATTCTTTAAATGATATAAATTTTGTGCATTATGAGTTATAATATAAACGAAATATATAAGTTAAGTGTTATATAATTATTGGATTATATAACAGTTAACTTAGTTTCCGCTATATAATTATTATATAAGTTAACTGTTATATAATTATTAATACTGTTAAGTGAATCTAGCGCCAGAGTGTCGCTATGGTAAACAAATACTAGAGTGAATTTTAAAGAATGCATTTATTCTATTGTGGTTTATGCGCTGTCGGCGAAGTAGATTTAATTCAATCCAATAATTTAAATGAAATGCAAGAAAAAATGCATGTAATTTAATATTCCGTACAAGGAAGTCATGTGGTGTACACATCAGATTTTTTTAAAGGGAAACAAAATTTTAGAGCTGCGTTTAAAAGGTTCTTCATAAAAAAAAAATGATAATTAAAAAAACGGAAATTTTTAGTCGGAATAAGCGAGCAGTTCTGCTTACTTGATGGTAATTAATATTTATCACAGAGCTCGGACGAGTTTTAATTTTTTACGATTTTGCGTAATATTTTTTGTAAAGTAATGTGATGTTCTTGAACTAATTATATATTTAACAGAGTTTGCATGTTAATAACTATTTATTTAAGGAAACAATTCTGTCAGCATATATATGAAAAAAAAAAAGAGCTTTTTAAGAATCTAGGAATATTTTTTAGTCAGAATAAACTTGAAAAACAATAATTTGTTTATACAAACACACAGCATAAAATTTATTGATTGCCGTGAGGAGATTCTAAAAGACAGACAATCAGAATACAGGTTTTTGAAAAAAATCTTTAAAGCGATATGAAACTAACCAATTAAAAAAGAATAACGTTTTTTGGGTCTCATATTTATATGACTCTGAAATTAAGACAATTGCAATTAAATTATTGTTTTACTCTCTGACTATTTTGCATTCTAACTCTAATATAAAAGTAAATGCAAAGCATTAACAAATTTTGACCCCAGATGTCTTCAAATGTGCATAATGAAGTGCAAATATACTTAATGGGAGGCTCACGTGATCGCATTCAGTATTAATTTATCAGCAGAGAATATTGATGGATGTATTAGAAAGTTATCTTCAAAAATCATTAGTAACCGTAAAGAGAAAAGTCAAACTTGCTTTTAGATTGGCTACTGTTTCAAAAATGGGATGGTTATTTTTCAAGCACAAATTTAATTATGATTAAGCTTATGATATCGCTTAATTCATACAGCACCCTTCTGAAATATGTAAAAGATGTCAGCACTCAATATTTTTCAAATAAACACCTTGCTTGAATTTTGGAAATTAATAAATAAATAACGAAACACCGAGGACGTCCGGGAGCAGATTTTGATCAGACACAGGTTGAAGTTAAGCCAGCACTTCTGTAGTAATACAGGTGATTGAAGTATTTGCTGAATTTAACTAACTGTTGAGCTTCTCTCACAATTTAGAGGGGAAAACCCCCGTAAAGGCGGCCCAAGGATCTCCACCCCATCTTTCCCTATCACCAATCTCTCGAGAGGACTTTCGGCTCGCCGAAGAATGAATGCCCCCAAGCCGCACTGACACTATACGCGTATAGACATCCATGCCTTCTCCAGGATTCGAATCAGGGCCTTCGGCTCGCCGAAGAATGAATGCCCCCAAGCCGCACTGACACTATACGCGTACAAACATCCATGCTTTCTCCATGATTCGAATCAGGGCCTATCAGTATGGCAGTCAGCGCCACTAACCATTATAACCGGTTGCGTAGATTTTGAACAAAGGGATGAGCGAATTAAGAGTATAAACTTTTGCTAAATGAAGCCTTACTACTTAGATGAGTTTAAAAGCATATGAAAACACGGCGTTTCAAAATTAGTGCAAAAAATAACTACATTCTCCCCAACAATAAGAAGCTCGGTTATCTGAAATATGTCAAAGCATACGATGGTTATCTGCCTAAGGAGAGGAATGTGTTCGTGGAAGGCTTTCTATGGGAAATTGGCACTTTACACGTGGAGGAAGTTGCGAAAACCAACCATGTAGCCAGCCCGTTCGCCTGGCCGACAACTCGATTTAAATTACTAGTATTCAGCGGTCAAATTACTCAGCTGCTGGTTAGGCCTCTAAGTATAGAAGCTATAGAAAAACCTTTGGGCGTAATATAAAATCTGATAGCTTTCATATTTTTTTTAAAGCTTATCAAAGCTTCTAGAAACACAGTCTAAACCCAGCTCTTTTGGATTATAAT